AAATTAACATTAGTTTCCACAATTTTATTCTCTAGTATAAAATTATCTGAACTGAAATTAGATTTTCTTCTCCTTCTTACATGCTAACATTTCCAGATTCTACAGCATTTTCAAATGAGAAAACACCTGTGTTCCACTCATATTTCTACAACCTACGAGACAGGTATCCTCGCTAAGTTACCTAAGATCTCAGGCTTTAATCATGACTTCCCTCTGCTTTCTATTCAGTTACAGATGTGCCACATTCTTAGCTTTTTTTAAAATAAAAGTTGTCCAAAGATACTAGCTAATTTTTAAAATGGTTACACAAATTTGAAGCATTTTGCAAAGAGAAATTCTGTACAATCAAAAAAACACACACTTATGACTACTTCTCAAAAAACTGTATTAAATAGACCTTATTTAAGTAACAAAAATAATTGTGTTAAAATTAGCTAAGATTCAGCACAAATCTACCATAACTTTGTCAACTCCTTTTTACTATTTTTAGTTTTCTGTATTTATCATTTCTTTAAATCATCTATTATCTCTGTTTATTTCTTAAGCAAGTATAAGATAGAAGAGAAGAAGCCGGGCTCAGTGGCTCAGCCTGTAATCCTGCACCTTTGGGAGACTGAGGTGAATGGATTGCCTGAGCCCGCGGGTTCGAGACCTGCCTGGGCAGCGAGACCTCATCTCTACAATAAATCAAAAAATCAGCCAGGCGTGGTAGCGCATGCCTGTAATTCCGGCTACTCGGAAGGCTGAGGCGGAAGGATCGCTGGAGCCCAGCAGGTCGAGGCTGCGGTGGCCGGGAGCGGCCACTGCACTCCAGTCTGGGCGAAAGAGTGAGACTCCAACTCAAAAAAAAAAAAAAAAAAAAGATAGAAGAGAAGGACAAGCAAAGAAAGATGAACTATCAGCTTATAAGGAGAAGCTGAAATGGATTGAAGGAAGAACTTTGCCACAAAAGCAGAGAAAAAGAGAAAAAAGCTCCATAATATGAAAAAGTCATGGACTTAACAAGTTACTTTAACACCCCCCCCAAAAAGGAAGTAACAGGTTTCTATAAATCCTGACCTGATCATTTAAGTGCTGTGTGTGGAAATCACAATAAAACACAAACCTGACTAAGTCAATCCCCGTTCAGAGGCTCCCTAGTGCTTTCTTTTTTTTTTGAGTTGGAGTCTCATTCCATCGCCCAGGCTGGAGCGCAGTGGCAGACTCATGGCCACCCCAGCATTGACCTGCTGGGCTCCGGCAACCCTTCCGCCACAGCCTTTTCCAAGTAGTCGGAACTATAGGTGCGTGCTACCATGCCCAGTTAATTTTTTATTGTAGAGACAAGGTCTCACCAAGTTTCCCGGGCTGGTCTCGAACCCACAGGCTCAGGCAATCCACTTGCCTCGGCCTCCCAAAGTGCTGGGTTTACAGGCTGAGCCACCGAGCCCAGCCAAGTCCCTGCTCTGAAACCTGGCATTCAAGCTGCTTCTTGTCTTATCTCTGCCAGGCCTCTCCCACCTTCTTTCACTTCCACTCTGTGCCCCCACCACTACATTCCAGACCTATTAAAGTATATGCAATTCCCAAATGTGCCAGGCTCCCTCTGTCACTTTTGAGCCTGAAGCTAGTTGCACTACCCTCATACCCCACCAGTCTCTTTGTCTAGGTATCTCATCCTTCCAGTCTCAGCTAGTCACCACCTTGACTCCTCAAGAGCTCATGAGACACCTCTCTTATTAAGTGCCTACCTACCAATAATTCCTCTATGATAGCACCAATCACATAGTAATGTCAGTATCTGCTTCCCCCACCTGACTGTAAAGTTTGTTCATGGAGGGAAGGGACTTTGTTTCCCTTCTCATTATATCGCTAATGTCTACCCTAAAGTAGACCCTTGATATATTTGTTGAATATTTAAACATTTTAAAAATGAATAACACATTGCCAGCTTTTGCATACTGTGACCATAAAAAAGTAACAAGGACTAGGAAATAGGCTGCACATTTAAATCAAAGTGCTAAGAAATGTGAACTATTCTAGTTTCCATAAAACTAAGTGTGACTGCATAAGGTATTTCCTTTTCCTAGAAAGAATAAGACCGCATCTGTTCTCTCCATTCCATTCCTGCTACCAACCACTTAGTCTAGTTGATAGACTCTAGTCTATCAACTCCTTTGCCCCCTCTTATTGCAAAATCTCTTCCTAGGTAAACTGCCTCCAGTCTCTCTATTCCAATATATGCTAAATCCTGTTTTCAATTCTAATATATAGATACCATTTTAAAATAAGCTAAGCATAGCAGCAATAGCATATACAATCTCCCTTTTCTTCCTCAACAACAAAATCCCAGTCTTATTTGGGGTAGTGCAACAAAAACACTTTTACATCACCAGATAAATTAACAGACTGAAGCTATGTGACTGGGTTCCGGCCAAGTGATTTTGGGCAGAAGAAAGTAAGTCACTTGCACCAAGTCCTTAAAACACCTCTACGACTTCTCATGGTCAACTTATCCAATAGGTATAGTAAGCACAGTGTTTAGGACCCACAAACCTTTAGGGGTTCATGAAAATGTCTTAGTTTCTTCTAAAATCAGAAGAAAAAACTTGGAGGTCAAAGAAAAAATTTGAATAGGTAGTATTAATATATCTGTTGTTATACAAACATTGTTGTAATATATAATTTTTAATACTGTTACAAAGGTACGGGTCAACAAAGACAAAAGTATCTAAGGCTTCATGAAGCCTAGTTGTACTTCCTACCCTACAGTCATAAGTCATGTGAAATTCCACTGTATCATTATTAAATTCCTCTTTACTTTAACCAACTTGAGTAGACTTCCATTACATACTACCAAGTGACCCCTACAACATTTATCCAGTAGGGTTGTAAATTCCCAATAAGCAGGAACTTGTAGATATTTTATAGTCATCTCAGGACCAAGTACAATGCCACTGACACAGATTTACATGACAAATATTTTTTTCTTAAAAATGACCATCTCATCCAATTTAAAGAACATGAGCTGGGTTCGGTGGCTCAGACTATAATCCCAGCATTTTGGGAGGTCAAGGTAAGTGGATTGCCTGCGCCCACAGGTTCAAGACCAGCCCCAGCAAGTTGGTGAGACCTCATCTTTACAATAAATCAATAATTAGCCAGGAGTGGTAGCACACGCCTCTTGGTCTAGCTACTTGGAAGGCTGAGAAGAAGGATCGCCTGAGCCCAGCAGGTCAACACCGGTGGTCATGAGTTGTGCCACTGCACTCCCGCCTGAGCAACAAGTGAGACTCCAACTCAAAAAAAAGAACATAAAAGTAAGTATCCACAAATTAGAACTATGTGTTCCTTTTCATTGTATTGAGCATTCTACACACGAAAGCTCTTTTTTGAGTTTTCTATTGCTCCAAAAAACTTGTTTCTCAAAACCTCAGAGGTCAATTATAATGAAATCTAATACTGGCCCCAGCACCAACTCGTATAACCTTCAGCAAGTCACTTGATCAAAATGAGCCTCAATTTCTTCACTGATAAGAAAAGGTTATTTAACGAGATCAGAGTTTCTAAACTTTGCCACTGCTGACATTTTGGGCCACATAATTCTGTTTTCAGGGGTTGTCCTATGTATTGCAGGATGTTTAGAAGCATCCCACCTTCTACCAACTAGATGTGAGTAGAACACACCTAGTTGTGACAATCAAAATATGTCTCCAGATGTTTTTTGCCAAATATCCCCTGGAGGCAAAAATCACTCCCAGTATAGAGCCACTAAACTAGACAATAAAATTTTTCATATATTCCTAGCATTCTGCAGTTTTTGTTTTGTTTTGTTTTGTTGAGTTGGAGTCTCACTCTACCGCCCAGGCTGGATGGCATGCAGTGACTCGCTCATGGCCACTGCAGCCTGGACCTGCTGGGCTCAGGCAATCCGTCTACCTCAGTTTTTCAAGTAGCTGGAACTATGGTGGCGGCCAGCTAAGTTTTGATTTATTGTAGAGACAAGGTCGCGCCAAGTTGCCAAGGCTGGTCTCAAACCCATGGGCTCAGGCAATCCTCTTGCCTCCTCCTTCCACATTCTGCAGTTCTTAAATGCTTTCATACACATTAACTTATTCACTCTTAACAACAACCTTAAGAAGTAGATGGAGCAGCAATTATCATTTAAAAGGCTATCAATCACAAGTTCAGAGATCAAGCCATTAAATGACAGAGTGGACAAAAACCCTCATCTTCTGACTCCTATTTCTGCTTTCTTTTGATATCCTGCCCATATCCTGGACAGGTTCTATTCCAGTTTTCAGTCTAACAGTTCAGTGCTCTCTCAACTGCCCCAGTCTATTTTCTGCAGAGTCTTTGTAAACAAACTGCAAGGTGATATAGAAATATAAATTTTACCGTTTTTTATTCTAGCCACACAACTCTCCTTGCTTTTCACTCATTGCTGCCTCTGTCTGGAAATTTCATCCTCCATGTGGCTGCATGGCTTGCTCCCTTACCTCCTTTTTGTCACAATCTTAGCAAAACCTTGCTTGATCATCCTCTTTAAAATTGCAACTGTACCCCAACCCCCACTCCCCAATCTCCTTCCTGCTCTTTTTTTTCCCATAGCACTTAAGGGCACCTGGCATCTCTTCCCGTATGTTTTGTTATGTAGTTCACACAACAAATCCCCTGAAAAGAGATATTTTTGTCCGTTTTACGGGGAGGCCCTCAATTTTTCTGTTTGAAGGATAGTGTTACAAACTCCTCCCTTTCCACCTTGGTTTTAGAAACTCCAGTGAAATAACAAATATGACATTCGAGTAGTCCGTAGAGTTAAAGACATTAGCTCCTGGTTCACCAGCTAGCAAGCACAGGCAAATTCTCCACGACAGCCACGGCTCGAGCGCGGGGGGCGGGGAGGTCAGTCCTTTAGAAAGAGGCTTCCCTCCAGGACGGCTGCAAGCACATGGGGAGCCCCTAGGACTGGCCAGCTTGGCTCCAGAGCCCAGCCCAGGACTCTTCCCGCCCAAACTCACTGCCATGGCGCCGCCCAGCAGACTCGACAAATCCACGACAATGGCTCCGGCGACCCCCTCAAAGGAGTGGTTACAACCTTTCCCCTCCCTCTCGGGGAAGCCAGGCGTTCCACGACACTAAAGCTCACGCTTCACACCTGCTGAGGCAATCGGCCTGCTCACTGCTAAGACAGTCGGATGTGTCTAGTGGCCTGCCGGGAATTGTAGTTTCCAGACCACCAGAGCCAGCGCCCAGCAGGAGCCTGTTGACTGCAGTTCCCAGAGGACAACGGGCTATCGGAAGTCTGTCTGATAAGCCTATCAGAGGCGATATAGGAAGTGACGTCACGAACACGGTGCACTACAACGTCCATGATGCAGTTCGGGATCGGTCTCGGAAGGTCGCAAGCACTCCCTGGTCCGGGTGGGGCTCTGCGGCCTTCAGCCCCCTCACCCCCCAAGGCTGAGTGTCGGCCAGGGTGCCCCGACGCGAAATTAATGGCCGCCGGGTAGCTCAGGTGGTAATTATGACCTTCCACCGTCCAGATTTTTATTACTGTCGGTGGCATAAGACAGCCCAACGCGCAGACATTTTGTGGCCATTTACTGACGATCTCTATTTTTAAGCGAGGAACTAAAAACCTTCTGCTGGGTCCCGGCACCGGGCTCAGGCCTTTTAGACGACGCGCGGTGGCCAGCCGTCCGGGCCACGTGTGACGACTGCCAGTTAATTCAAGTGAACCTTCCCATCCGCGTGTCCCACTGCACAGCCCCCACTCCTTCCCCAGGCTTTACTTCCTAGTGTGAGTTACTCCCGTGCCTCCGTGTGTTATTCCAGTCGACGTTCGGCGTCTACAGAGCACGCTAAGAGGGGGAGAGAACCCAGCCAGAAGTGCGTGCCCAAGGACTAGAGGGAAAAATATATATATATATTATATATATATATTATATATAAACATATATATTATATATAAACATATATATATTATATATAAACATATATATTATATATAAACATATATATATTATATATAAACATATATATTATATATAAACATATATATATTATATATAAACATATAATATATATAAACATATATATAACATATATAAATATATATAACATATATAAATATATATAACATATATAATATATATATAACATATATATTATATATATGTATAACATATTTTATATATATATATACATATATATGCATTTTTGCTACAATTCTCAATGACTAGTTTTGAAATAAAAACGTAATGATGGCCTAACCAAATGCCTGGGACATGATAGGGGCTTAATACAAGTTTGTTAGGTGGCCGGGAGCGGTGGCGCAAGCCTTGTCATCCCAGCACTTCGGGAGGCCGAGGCGAGAGGATTGCCTGAGCCTGCGGGTTCGAGAACAGCCTGGGCAACTTGGCAAGACCTCATCTCTACAATAAATTAAATAAAATAAATCAAAAAATTAGCCGGGCGTGGTAGCGCGTGCCTGTAGATGCGGATACTCGGAAGGCTGAGGCTGAAGGATCGCCGGAGCCCAGCAGGTAGACGCTCGACACTCAGGTGGTCGTGAGCGAGTCACTGCACTTGAGCCTGGGCGACAGAGTGAGACTCCAACTTATAATAATAATGATAATAATGATAAAAATAATGGTTTGTTGAGTGAAAGGAAAGCAGAAGAAACCTTGAGCTACAGGGAACCTATCATGGCTCACCTGCCAGTGAGCTCTTGCACACACAAACTTTCTTCATCATGTCCCACGCGCTCGTCCTTTAGCTGCTAACCACTTAGACATCGCCTCTTGACAACCTGAGTCTGCGCTAAATGGACACTCCCAGATGTTCCCTGAAGCGCTCCCTTGGAAAATTTATGTCACTGAATGTAATTGCCTGTTTACTGATCACTAGGCTGCAAGCTCCGTGACAGCAGAGAGTGTGCCTAGCACAGAGTTGGGCATATAGTAGGTGCCTTATAAATAATGAATGAATGAATGAATGAAAGAATCCCTGCTAGGTGCAGTGGCTCATGCCTGTAATCCCAGCACTTTGGGAGGCACAGGTGGGAGGATTGCCTGAGTCCAGGCATTCGAGACCAGCCTGGGCAACTTGGCGAGACCCTGTCTCTACAATAAATCAAAAAATTAACTGGGTGTTCTGGCACACGCCTGTAGTTCCAGCTACTTAGAAGACTGAGGTGGAAAGATCCCCTGAGCCCAGAGGGCTGAGGCTGCGGTGCCCATGAGCGTGCCACTGAAGTCCAGCATGGGCGACAGAATAAGAATCCTACTCAAAAAAAAAAAAAAAAAAAGAGAGAGAGAGAGAGAGAGAGAGAGGCCGGCTCAGCCTGTCATCCCAGCACTTTGGGAGGCCAAGGCGAATGAATTGCCTGAACCCACAGGTTGGAGACCAGCCCAGGCAACTTGGTGAGACCTCATCTCTCCAACAAATCAAAAATTAGCCGGGCGTGGTAGCACTCACCTGTGGTTCCAGCTATTTGGAAGGCTGAAGTGGAAGGATCTCTGGAGCCCACCAGGTTGATGCTGGAGTGGTTGTGAGTGTGCCACGCACTCCAGCTTGGGCGACAGAATGAGACTCCAACTCAAGAAGAAAAAAAGAATCCTCTCATCCTCCACAGCTCTTATAACTATACTTTCTTGTTCTAATTCTGCTCTATCCAGTACTTTGTGACATCTTTGATTCAATCCACATCGGTAATTGAAGTTATTCATACAACAAATATTTATTGAGCACCTGACATAGAGCTAAGATAGAGTTGGGAACAAGATAGATAGACATGGTCTCCTGCCTTCATGGAACTTACAGTCTAAAGGCACGAGACATTAGGGCAGAAAATAAACAGGTAATCATATGACTCGAAATTATGAAAAAGCCTCATGCCTCTAAATTTATCCTTTTTAATTTTGCTATTTAAGTAACTAAGATTCCACTTTCTAAGAATCTTTTGAATTCCATTCATTCAGCAAAAATGTATTTAGCTTCTAACTATTTACAAGGCACTATTCTAAATGCTGAAGATATGACACTTGGAAGAGGCAGGCACAGTCACCACTACAGAGAGCTTACAGTCTACTGAAAGGGACAAACATTAAACTATGGAAGCAGTGGGAAGCCATCCTTCCTTTTAAGCAAGGAAGGGATATGGTCCTAATGTTTTACAAAAATCATTCTGGGCTGGACACAGTGGTTCATGCCTGCAATCCCAGCACCTTGGGAGGCGGAGGCGAGAGGATTGCTTGAGCCCAGGAGTTCAGGAACAGCCTAAACAACACAGTGAGACTTCATCTCTACAAAAATTTAAAAATTAGCCAAATGTGGTAGTACATGCCTGTAGTCCCAGCTACTCAGGAGGCTAAGGCAGAAGCCTGAGTCCTGGGGGTCACAGTTGCAGCGAGCTGTGATGGGGCCACTGTACTCCAGTTTGGGCAACAGAATGAGACTCCAGCTTAAAAATAATAATAATTGGCCGGGCTTGGTGACTTGGCCTGTAATCCCAGCACTTTGGAAGTCCAAGGCAAGAGGTTTGCCTGAGCCCGAGGGTTTGAGATCAGCCCAGGCAATTTAGTGAGACGTCATCTCTACAATAAATAAAAAAATTAGCCGGGCATGATAGCATGTGCCTGTAGTTCCGGCTATTTGAAAGGCTGAAGTGGAAGGATAACTGGAACCCAGCAGGTCGACGCTGGGGTGGCCGTGAGCATGCCACTGCACTCCATCCTGGGCGACAGAGTGAGACTCCAACTCAAATAATAATAATAATTATTATTATACTGGGCTGGGTGCTGTGGCTCATGTCTGTAATCCCAAGTACTTTGGAAGATCAAGCGGGAGAATTGCTTCAGTCCAGGAGTTCCAACTTGGGCAACATAGCAAGACATCAGCTCTACAAAAAAGTAAAAAAATAAGCCAGGCATGGTGGTACGTGCCTGTCATCCCAACTACTCAGGAGGCTGAAAAGGGAAGATTGCTTAAGCCCAGGAGGTCGAGGCTGTGATGAGCTGTGATCATACCACTGCACTCCAGTCCGGGCGACATAGTGAGACTCTGACTCAAAAATACATAAATAAATAAAATACAAATTTTTCTGAAGAAGAATTAGAAAAGAGTAAAAGTAGAAACAGGAGGTTATTGCAGGTGTCCAGGTGAAAGTTGTCTTGGACTATGGTGGTGACAGTCAAGATAAAGATGAACAGATTCAAGAGTTATTTTAAGAAGAAAATGTATTACAGCTTAGTAATATGGCTTTTTAATGGGAATTGTCAATTATTTGCTAGCCCATGTCACATACCATCTCTAGACAAATGAAATTAGAAAGGTGGCATAGTGGATAAGAGCTTGGACTCTGAGTCAGACAGAGTTCATCATTTACTAGCTGGGTGACCTCAATTAACCACTGTGTAAAATAAGGATGATAATATGTACCTCATAGGATTGCTATGAGGATTAAAGAAATAATATGTGTATAAACCCTTTTTATGTGTATGTGTATATCTGGCATATAGCAAGCACCTAAAAATGTCAGCGTTTTTGTTTTGCTTTGTTTTGTTTGCTGGTTTGTTTTGACCAGGCTCAATGGCTCACACCTGTAATCCCAGCACTTTGGGAGGCTGAGGCAGGAGGACTGCTTGAGCCCCGGAGTTTGAGACCAGCTGAGGCAACATAGTGAGACCTCATCTCCAAAAAAAAATTTTTTAAATCAACCGGACATGGTGGTACACACTTGTTTTCTCAGCTACTCAGGAGGCTGAAGCAGAAGGATCGCCTGAGTCCAGGAGGTTTTAACTGCGGTGAGTTGTGAGTGTGTTATTGTACTCCAGCCTGGGTGACAGAATGAGACCCCAATTAAAAAAAAAATGTTGCCGGGCTCGGTGACTCAGCCTGTAATCCCGCACCTTTGGGAGGCTGAGGTGAGTGG